AATGAAAACCCCACACTTAACAGTTACTCCTCTGTCATCTCCTCCTCTAGACTTTTTGTCTATGGATTTGCCTACTCAGGGCATTTCATGTAAATGGAATCATACAAGTCCCAGAAATGTGGTCTTTAGTGTCTGGCTTCTTCTTTAATATCTGAGTGTAGTGGTCTTAAAGTTCATCCATGTTGTAGCCTGTATCAATACTTCTTTCCTTTTGATGGCTGAATTACATTCCATCGTATGAATAGGCCACATTTTATTTATCAGTTGATGGACATTTGGTTTGTTTCCACTTTTTAGCTCTTAAGAAAAGTGCTGCTATGAACATTCAGATACAAGTTTTTGTGTAAAAACATGTTTTTAGCTGTTGAGTATATACCTGGAATGGAAGTGATGGATCATATGGTAACTCTCTTTACTTTTTGAGGAACTGTCAAACTCTCTTACAGGAGCTGTACCATTCTATATTGTACCAGCAATGTGTGAGACTTCTGATTTCTCCATATCCTCATCAATAACCTATTCTTTTCTTTCTTGTGTTGTAACCATCTTAGTGGGTATGAAGTGTTATCTCATTGCAGCTTTGATTTGCATTTTTAGAGTGACTAATGTCTAGCATCCTTTCATGTGCTTGTTGGCCAATGTATATCTTCTTTGCAGAACTGTCTGTTCAAATGTTAAGCCCCTTTTAAAATTGAGTTTTTTGTCTTTTTTTTTTTTGAGTCATAAGAATTTATATCTCAGATAGTAGGTCACAGTTATATATATGATTTGCAAATATTTTCTTCCATTCTCTGGATTGTCTTTTAACTTTCTTGATGTTGTCCTTTGAAGCACAAAAGTTTTTAGTATGATGAAATCCAATTATTTTTTCTTTTCTTGCTTATCCAAGAAATCATTGCTTAATTCAAGGTTGTGAAAATTTCTAGCTATGCTTCCTTTTAAGAGTTTTGTAGTGTTAGTTATTTCATGTAGGTCTGGTCCATTTTGGGTTAATTTTTGTATGTTATATGAGTTAGAGGATCAAACTCATTCTTTTACATCCAGTTGTCCCAACACCCATTTGTTGAAAAGACTTTACCTACTAAATGGTCTTCGGTACCTTTTTTGAAACTTAATTGACCATAGATCTATGAGTTTATTTTTGGACTCTTAATTCTGTTCCATTTGTCTATATGTTTATCCTTATGCCAGTACCATACCATTTGATTACTTTGTGTTAAGTTTTGAAATTGGGAAGTATGAGTTCTCCAGCTTTGTTCTTTTTCAGTATTATTTTGACATTTAGTGTCTCTTATTTCCATATGAATTTTGGAATCAGCTTGTCCATATCTTCAGAAAGAGGCAGTTGGAAAGGAAAATTGAGGAATTGTACCGAGCTTATAGATCAATTTAGGGAGTATTGCCATTTTTACAATATTGTTTTCAATTCTGAAGAACACAGGATGTCTTTTTATTTATTTAGATCTTCTTCAGTAAAGTTCTATGATTATCTTCATGTGAGTCTTGCACATTGTTATTTGTGTTTCTAAGATTTTATAGTTTTCATTCTAAGGATCTTTTACTTTTAGCATAAAATTTCTTTTTGGGTTTTTCTGTTTTTATTTCAGTTTCATTTAGTTAACATACAGTGTTATGTTAATTTCATTTATGTAGCATAGGATTTTTTTAATTGGCTAATGCTGCTGTATAGGAAAGTTGTTGATTTTATCAGAGATAAACAAATGTCCCTTTTTATGAGGAATAAACACAAAGAATAGAATAGGAAGTTTAAAAATGGACCAGACATACATGGTTATATGACTTAGGACAAGGCAACACAACAATTTTATGTAGGGGAAAGATGGTCTTTTCAATAATTTATGCTGAAACAATTGGATATCCATAAGGAATAAAATGGGCATTGGCCACTACCTTATGCAATATACAAAAATTTTAGATGAATTATAGACCAAAAAGTCAAAGGAAGAACAATAAAGTTTTTCTAAAAAATAGTATATCTTTATAACCTTGGAGTAGTGAAAGATTCATCAAAAAGGCCACAGAAAAGTACTAAACATTAAAAAGAAGTAAATTGGACTATATTTAATAACTTGTTCATCAAAGGATCTTATTAGAGAGTGAAAAGACAAGTCATAAACTGAAGAAGATTTTTGCGACACATACTATTGACAAAGAATTTATATATAAAATATGTAATGAGCTCTGTAAACCAGTAGAAAAAAGCAAAAGATAGACAGGAGTTTCAAAAAAGGGAAATTTTAAATGTGCAATAAGTATGTTTGTCATCAGAAAAAAGAATATTTAAGCCACAACAGCATAAAATGCAGAGTCACTAAAATTAAAAAGACTGATAATACTAAATGTTGGTGACAGAGTGGAACAACTGAAACTCCTACATTACCAGTAGAAGTGTACAGTAGTCAGCTACTTTGGTATAATGTTTGACATTTCTACTAAAGCCAAATTTACTTCTGTCTTATAACCCAGCAATTCCACTCCTAGCATTTACCCAAGAGAAATGAGTACAGGTGTCTCCTACCCAACAAAGATATGTAGCATCATATTCCTAGTATCTCTATGTATAGGAACCTCATATTAGAAACAACCCAAATGCTTGTTTAGAATGAGTGTAGTAGAATGGGTGAATTTTATTATTTTTATATAGTGGAGTACTAAACTGTAATACAAAAGAACATGCTAATGTTACATATAACAACATGGGTGATTCTTAGAGACATAATATTGAGTGAAAGAATCTAGACACAGAAGGAAATGTATTATATGAGGGCATGTAGATGGGGGCAGGTGAAACCAGGCATCATGATAACAAATGGTTATAGTGGTTATCTCAGAATTTGGGGGAGGGAAGGTAGATGGGGAAGAGGAACAAAGGAGCTTTCTATGGTACTGGAAATGTTTTGTTTTTGATCTGGATGGTTGGTACATAAGGGTGTACGATGAAAAAATTCATTGATCTATATGAATGTTAGGCATTTGCGATTTACTGTGTATACTTTTAATTTAGAAAGTAGCATACATATATAGAGATTGAGTAAGATATGTACTATACTTGGTCCTAGTTTTTTAATTCAAAACATGCCCTTTATAAGAGATAAGTGAAGGGTGTTGACAAAGGGGCACCAGGATACCTTCAGTTTTCTTCAGTACTTCAAAGATCACAAATAAGTCATAGGAGAAAAAACCTGCCAGCAGGGGTTGTCTTTCTTCCCTAGAGGGGAAAATAATGATGAGTATTTTGAAAAGGAGTTTTAAAGCAAGTGATTCCTCAAAGATTTTAAGTCCCTTGCCTAACAGTACATGTGTGACAACTGATACAGTGTTCCTAGTGGAAATATGGTACATTTGAGATGGTAGAAAGGCTAAAAATCACTTCTCTAGAGCATTTCTTCATTGCCATTAAAATTCCTTGCTTTGCCTGTTATGTAAGGGTCGCTTAACATTTGAGCATGTGCATCTCCGTAAAATTCAGTTATGCATACCTATATTGTAGTTTAGTAAACTGTAACTTCAAAGGCTTTTCTATTTTTATGGGAGTCCAGGGTCAAAAACTAGTAAAAGAGAACAATTAACTCCTGAAATTCTGTTCCATGATTAACTTCATTTTGTTAGTATGAATTTAAATGTTCTTGGGTCATTAGTGGTTTTTAAGTAATGAATGACAAGTTGATAGTTCAATTTTATAATTAGCTTTCTGTTCATTAATCAATATATATTTGAGGGAGTTTTTTTAAGAGATAAGTCATCTAGTGTATCTATTTTATTTTACCATATAGTAGGTAACATGGTGAAGTAGATTAACCCTTAATAATGGTAACACATGAGGCATCTTAAATTAACCCCTGGGTGACTGAGGTTGAGTGGAGAATATGAATAATAATAATAGTGGCTATCAGGCTATCAGGGCTTTCTATAGTCTGAGGTGAATGCAGAGATGGTATTCTACAAGGAGTGTATCTTCATTTCTTGCCACAGATCTTATAGGGCTACAAATGTTAACTGAAATCCAAATACCTCCCTGTCTGTGAGCTGTCCTTAGGAGAGATGAGAGGGCATAAGCATGGTGACCGTCAGCTCTTACTACTGATGACTTTGGGCTCTTATTCCTGCAGTGCACCTCCCTGTATATCCTCAATTTGGATTGTTCCAGCGAGGAAAAGATTCTGTTCTTCCTCTGGCACCATTTAGATATTAGCTTCTATTTTTTTTTTAGCACATCTCATCTTTATGAGGATAAACAAAGAGTATTATTGCAATAGTTAGTGGGAGGAAACTTAAAATGTAGTAAATTAAGTAAAATTGCTGTAAGAGGGATCAAATGTCAGGGGAAATCTGTGCACATAAGCTAGTTGGCACTCATAATAATCATAAAACAAGAGATGTGTCTTTGCTAATACTTAGGAACTCATTGAAAGCTACTTCAATTAAATAACCTATTAAGTTGAGACCTGAAATGTCTATAAAAGACATAATCTGATTTATGATTTACATATGGACAAGTGCTGTTTTTAGTGCTTACAGAAAGAGTAGTTTCTTCTTGTGATCTAAAAATGGTACAGACAGGACAAATACCTGAAATAATACATATTTTTAGTTCTAAGTGAGAACAAGAGAACAAGGAAACAGTGCTAATTAATGAAAGAACATGCTTGTAGTATAATAAGATTTATACCATAGAATTAGGTTATGATACACTTAGTGACTATGAAGAATAGTAAAAAACTATAAGGGATTAAACTGAACATTTTGGTCTAATGAAACTGAAAAATTGTATTTGATAACCAGGATAGTTTTTGACAGAGAACTTAAGAGAACTTTACTAATCCTGCAAATATCCAGTATTCTTTTTTAACATGTGTATTAATATGTAAAATATTAGGGAAACATTTTTTACGTTATAAGCATTTTCAATAAAAACTGATGGTCTTTCTGTTATACCAAATTACATTTTCCTTTTTTCATTTTTTTTTCTTCCCCCCTAGGAAACTGACTGGACATTCTTTCCACATGGGCTATAGCATGGCAATTTTGAATGGCATTGTTGCTGCTCTTACTGTAGCATGGTGCCTCATGTAAACCTACACTGAAGCAATATTTTTGGTAAAACTTAGTCATGGTTGCTTTATAACAACAGGGAAGAACATCATTTCATCATTTGTCTACTCAGAAGACCAAGAAACCTGCTGTCTGTGGTTCAGATATGTCATATCATCATCATTATGGAGGACCGTTTTGTTTTGTTTTGTTTTGTGTTTAAATGGAGGACCTTTGTAAGCACCATTCTAGAACTTAGGCATTGAGAATATCTGAGTATTAAGTTTCAAGTAATTTCTTAAAAATGTAAGGTGTTTACCTCGTCTTTTTACTTTTGTGTGCATTGTCCTTATAAATTATAGAAAACATTTAGTGGAATTCAAACATGATGAAAACTTGAATATGGGATAATGCTATGTATAATACTACATTTTTGCTAAGAAATACTAGTGGACTGCTTAAATGAGATAGAAATACTTATTTATTCATGATATTAGAAAAGCAAACAATGCCTACTACTTTGACATTTTATAGAAGCTACTTTGAAATCAGAATAGTTTTCAATAGTAATAATCAACAGAAGGTGCATTTATATTTTTTAATGGGGTATAATTCCTTATGTGTTTTTTTAATATATTTTCCTACTACATATTGAATTTGTATGTTTTTAAAATTGCTACATCTAAACAAATGTATATGTTATTTTTTAGCTGAGGGAAGCCTAATACCTACCATTTTAAGTAAGTATTTTGTTTTTTTTTTAAAAAAACAAAAAACAAAAAAAAATCCCACAAAAAACAAACACAGTGAACTGAGTTTAAAATTAAGTAAACCTATTTTAACAAAAAAAATCTGATAAAAAGTAAATTAATTAAACCACTGAGATATTGAGAAAGTTGAAGTTGTTCACTATTTCTGTTTCCACAGTTGCAAATATTTTTCTTGGTGTGTATATGATTATTCCAACAGAACTGATATTATTTTGTTTTTAATAAATATAAATCTAAAATTTTTATATTTGGAAATGCTTGAACTACTTTGTTTTTAGTCGCAAAGATTTAGTTAACAAACTAGAAAAGGTATTTTGATAATGTATATATGTATAATCTTTTTATATATGTTTCATAATTTTCATATTTAAATGTCCTACAATTGTGTTTCTTTTTGTTTTTATAGTAGTTAACCTTAATTGTTCCTACTTCTTTTCTAAATACCTGTTTAGAAATTTGCTTCAATTTTAGAAAGATGGGCTATTTAAAATGCTGTGTTCCCTGGCCATAGAAAAATTTATATTAGGAAAGCATTGTGTATCAAAACAACTTATTCAGGCTAAATGGGAAGTGAGTATGTGCAGTGTGTTCCTGTTATATGCTGAGTGTTGTTACTGAGTAAATGATTTAACGGTATTTCTAAGTCTTAACACTTTTTTGCTACTCAGAAACCTTCCATTGGAAATGACAAATGCTGCTCCAATTTAAATTATCTGAAGTGGTTAGATTAATATGGGGGGAGGGGTGTGTGTGTGTGTGTGTGTGTGTGTGTGTGTATATACTTATGTACATATACAAATCCTATTGCTTAGAGTATTCCTTCCAAAGTGGTTGAAATGAATTTATGTTTACTCCCTTTCTCTTCGCCCTCTCCCAGCTCTTCCACTACAATTGAACATATAGGTAACAAAATTAGTTTTTCTTCTCTCCACCCTTCCAAACCTTCCCTCCCCCTCAACCAATTCGGATAGCTCCTTCCAGATTTTTTGTGTCCTATGACTAAGAAAAATATTACAGTACACCCTCTATATGTAGGTATCTATAAGATATTATATATACATATAATGTAAATACATATCAATATATATCTGTAGACATTTCTTCTGGTACCCTATTTCTTCTGGAACACTATTTCTTCCCAACTAGCACTCCTCTTTCTGGGGAAGTTCTTCTCTGCAGTTCATCATAGGGTCCAAATTTAAACCATCCTATTTCCATAGCAGAGTGATTGAGTAAGGATAGGTATATAAACCAGAGCTGGGTCAATCCTAGCTTCTCATCTCTCTGGGCCACAGTGATTGTAACAGGGGTGCCAGAAAGATTGGATTTCAGTGAAGACCTCTTCCTGGTTTACAGAGAACTGTCTTCTCATTTTATCCTTACTTGGTAGAGAGAAAGGGCCAGCTCTCTTCCTCTTATAATGATACTAATTTCATTGTGGTGCCTTCAACTCCATGACCTGATTATCTCCCAAAGCACTACCCCCTAATGCTATATTATTATATATTATACTATATTATTGGGGCTTAGAGTTTCAACAAATGAATTCTGGGAGCGAACAAACCTGCAGTCCATAAAAATATTCAATGTCAAAAGTAGGTTCTTAGAAAAGGTAGATTTCTAGTAAAACATTTTATAAGAGATTTTCTATATTTGTCTCTTTTTCCATTTCTGCTCTGTTCTTGATTGGATCAAGGCCCTATACTACAAACAACAGAAGCCAACTGGCTAACTTAAGAGAAAGGGAATTTAATGAAAGGATAGCCAGTTACTCTCAGAACTGGTGGGCAGGAACCAGGAAAGTACTAGAGGAGAAAAGTACTCAAGGTGGAAGCAAAGGAACTGTTTGATAGTGGGACAGCCTGGTCAGGATGATCGAATGAATCATTCCTGTCATTTGTTCTTGTTACTTGCAAGATCAGCTAAGGGTTTAGAGTCCTTGGAGAGAGTGCACAGTTGGCCAAGATTGGGTTATGTGCCGACTCTTTTGTCTTCTGTAATTGGGGGTAGCATCTGGAATTCTTTGGGGATGGGTGACCAGATAATGACAAAAACAAATGTTCACTACACTTCACTCTTCGCAATTCATTTTGTCTCCTTGGCCTGAAGAGACATGGAGACATCAATTTCCACACACATATTATTCCTTTTATACTTGAATTTCCAAATGTATTCATGCCTAACAATGCAGCTCTCATTTACTACATCCGAGTCCAAGGCCTTCAGGCCATGTTCATTTTTCTAGTTTTACCACATTCTCATTGATGTTCTGCAAATTACACTGAACAGTGTGTGTATGTGTGTGTTTTAGAGAGGACCATGAGTGGGAGGGGCAGAAGGAGAGGACGAGAAAGAATCTTAAGCAGGCTCCACGCCCAGCATAGAGGCTGACAAGGGGCTTGATCTCATGACCCTGAGATCATGACCTGAGGTGAAATCATGAGTCAGACACTCAACCGACTGAGCCACCCAGGCGCCCCCTGAGCAGTCATTTTAATACTTAAAACAGGAAGAGATGGGAAATCTGTTAAAATACATGTTACATATGACAGCAAGAAAATACATGTGGGAGTTACTGTTTTATTTAAGCACCAGGTCATGAGACTTGACTTCTGCATCTGTTCTTTTATTTTTGTCTTGGCTACTACCTTGAACAATTAGGTTTCTTCTGTAATAGAGTGACCAAGTTTATTTTAGACAGGACTGAGTCTTGTTTCTTTTACCACCAAATATGTAATATAAGAACATACCTCAGAGAATCTTCAGTTTTTCTTCTATATTCTTTCCTGCTCTTATATGTGACAGCAACTATATTATAGGGTTAAAACACCCCAACTAACATGGCAACGTCTTTTCTTGCCAGATTACGTGGTGTCATAAAGAATCCAAAATTACCATGCAGCAGTTTGAACTTCCAGTTATTTTCAACTAATTTCTTTTGAACTCTTAAATATTAAAATCTTTAAAAACACTAGAGTCTAGAGTCAGAGGAACAAAAAAGCAAAAACTTGAGAGAGCTTAATTAGGTGTAATAATGAGAGGCTTTTTAGTTCTTGGAGCTTATATAGGAATAGGAGAAATAGCATTAAAAATCAGTTGTTGGATATAAATATGTACTGCATATGCATAAAGACCTGAACTTTAAGTGCTGTCTCTCAGTTGCCTTCATAACTAAGTCTTCAAGAACGTTATCTTACCTCTTCTGTGTAATTAATTCCTTGGCCAGAACAATGTTGTGTGGGAATCCATGATAATGTGTAAATTATTTAATAAGTCCAATAAATGGTGGTCCTGCCAGAAGTATCATGGATAAAAAAAGCGAAAAGACCATAATATCTACTAATGAGGATAAAATTAAAACATTACCTCTTCTAATGGGATTAGTTGGCTACCAGGTAGCTGACTGACACCCCTCCCTTACCCCCGACATACAATACCAGTAGAAGTGGTCTTGGCAAAGAAAAGTTGGGGAGGTAGAGAAGGAGAAGGAGCGGTCAGAAAAGCATCTGAAAGTGTGGTTCTATTTGTATACTCCGTCCTTGCCATCCTGGCACTTTGTTTATACTCTCATTTAGCACCAGCTTCACAAGATACCAACATTTACAGAAAAGGTTGTCTTGCATACCTAATTACTCAGAGCCTCATTCACAGTGAGGGCTTTGCTGTGAGTATTAATAAAGCTCAGAAATATTTTAAAAGATCCATCTATATACCCCTTCCAACCTTTCTTAAGTTGACACCAATCCTTTTCTGAGCCCCTGAGAATCCAGCCAAACTTCATGTTCACTTTCCATGATTATACATAATCTTATTTCATACCATGTCTCTTCAGGCCAAGGAGACAAAATGAATTGCTCAAAGCTCTGCTCCCTAGGGGGACTTCCTTTTCCTGCCCTTTGCTGTGACCCATGAACAGGGGGTTTAATGGTCCCCACCACCTAATTTGTGGCTGGTAGTAACATAACACACAGAACCACCTCTAAGTCAAGCTTGAATTTTTTTCCAACATCAGTTATCCCTGTGGAACCCTCATGAGGCCACAGTTGTGAACTGAATGAAAAGAGGCAGCATGGCAGGGGAGCATACTGGGAATGTGATCCCTCAGGTTACTCATGCCTTTAGGACTGGTTCAGGACATTTTTCCTGGATAATAGAACTCAAAGGATGCCCTTAGGTCAGTGATTTCCCACTGAGGGCAATTTTGCTTCTCAGGGGTAAAATTTAACAATTTAATGAAATACTGAACAATGTTTAGAGACATTTTTGATTGTCACAATTGCAGGGCACTACTGGCAACTAATTGATAAGCCAGGGATGCTGCTAAACATCCACAATGTTCAAGACCGCTTGCCACAAGAAAAAATAATGGGGGCCCAAATACCAATAGTGCCAAGGTGAGAATCTCTGATTTATATTTATGTCGAGATGAGTTGGATAACATCCTGTTCAGAATGGTCAGGGTTACCTGGAGTTCTGAGATCAGGTGTTCATTCTCCAAAAAGCCAGATAGAATGAGCTGTTTCTCAAGAGCAAAGAGTTATTAGCCTAAGGGGACTTGTCTCTGTGCCAGTACCCACTGGACCTCTGGCTAGCAAGTTTGTCACAGACACTAGTCATTAACTGCAGTGGCCTTGTATGTTACTGGAGTTTACCACATAGTACTACTTCCAGTCAAAGAATTCACTAAAAAAATTCATGCACAAAACCTTTTCTTCACATCTGTATATACTGCCTGCTTTATACTAATGAGAGAAAGGCTTCCATAAAGATTATATACAACAATGCTGTTGTTGAATTGGAAGCTGAGACCTCATTTGGCCATTTCAAGTTCCTTAAAGCACTGGGCGCTGACAAAATG